TCGACAGAGACCCTAGATGTAGAGAACTTTATTTTACCTACAAGATTACGCCTCGAATCTAGAGCAGCAAGAGTTATTACTAGTCTTAGGGGGCTACCCACCTCGCACCCTGCCTACGCGTTAGTCCCTAAGATCGATAAAACCCGGAATAAACCAGCGAGCTTCTTAAGTCCGCTAAAGGCGACCCTAAAACTTAGCAGCCTAATCCCGCACTAAGAAACCGAAACGATAGACATCTACCCACCTCCTCCCTAGTAACCACTCCCGGTAGAGATTAAGACAACACTACCCCCGGATAAAGATAAAGTATTCCTAAGTCACGCGGAAAAGAGGGACCCGCTCTCCCAGATCTATACAGATGCTTCTAAGATAAACAACCAGCTAGGAGTAGCAGCAGTTATTCTAGACCAAGCCGGGAACGCCCGATACAGTACGCTTAAAGGAGTTAGATCTAGCAATTTCTACACAGTATAAGCAGCCGAACTAATTGCTATTCTAACGGGGATAGAGCTAGTAGCTAGAAAACACCTATAAGAGGGACCCTAAAGCCTAACCGAATACGTTATCTACAGCGATTCTAAAGCCGCCCTCTAAGCTCTAACTAGGAGATATAAAAAGAGATCAGGCTAAAGCATCGTACGGTCTATCCTTAGTACAGCCTAATCTCTCTATAAAGGTCTCCAAATAAGTTTCACGATCCAATAGATCCCAAGCCACTACGGTATCCAAGGAAATGAGGAAGCAGACAAGCTAGCTAAACAAGCTATAACACGTCTTAGAGAACACAACTTCCTACCCTTAATACCGCTGCAAGTCAAAACAACTCTCGAAGCAGCATATAAGCAATAGAATAAAGAATAGAGAGCGTCAGAGAAAGGCCAACACCTCCGCAACGTAGATATAGCGATTCCGGGACCACACGTAAGGCACCTCTACGACAAGCTCCCACGTAGCCTAGCAGGGCTGCTAGCCCAGTTAAGAACTAGCCACTACTAGCTCAACCAGCACCGAAAA